GAAACTACAGTTTTTTTAGCCTAAATTATAGTATTTACTTAGTTCTTCACCATGTAATTTTTGTATTTCATATTGATATTTGTGTTCTAAGCTAAAATTATATTACTTAATTCAACCATTTACATTATCTGCCAAAGTTATCTTTGGATGACATTCAACTATGTCAAAATAATCACTCATTTTTAATGTTTTAAATGTTTTTTGTGCTGAAATGCTAATGATGCTTTATCAAGACACAAGTTATTCCATATTATATTTTTCATTGTCCTCTCTGGAGCATTTTTTCTTTCTCTTGAATATCCTTTGACCATATTCCTGTTCAGAAGTTTTGTCATGGGCTAGCCCCACAGTACAGTAGTTAAGCTTTGAGCATGGGGGCTGAATCCCACATGTCTGACTCTAGTCCAGATCTCAGTCCCAGAGGCTAGAAAAACACATCAGAGCATATGCACACATGCCCAAGATTCTGATGGGATGGAGAAATGGATGAAAAAGGATTGCCATGAAGTGCCCCAACATCTCACTAGGGTGGTATCAGAGAAGGCCAATAGGACCGAAACTTTGATCTCCATTGATCAATAATGAGCCCCTTATCTTCATTTCCACTCCCATCCATGGTGTCAGTGTAGACAATGTGGGCATCCTGGCCTTCCACCACCACCAGACAGTAACAAATAAGTGCAAAAAAAACAGAAAGAAAGAAATAATAAAGATAAAAGTAGGAAACAATTAAATTCAAACAGAAAAATGAAAGAAAAGAATCAATAAGGCAAAGAGTTGGCACTTTGAAAAGATCAATGCAATTAGCAATCTTCTAAATAGTCTGACAAAATTAAAAGAGAGAAAAACATAGGTTGCCAAAATTTAGTATCCAAAGGAATGCCTGACTATATCAAAAGATAATTTTTAAAAATGCTACAAACAACTCTTTACACAAAAATTTGAAAACTTAAGACAAAATTGATCAATTCCTTGAAAAATACAAACCAATACAACTTACTCAAAATGGAATTGAAATTTCAAGTAGCCTCATAACTATTTGAGTAAAATAAATAGGTAATTTTTAAAAACTCAAGAAAAAAATTCGAGGGCCAGATGGTTTTACCAGAGAATTCTACCTAATGTTTAGAGAAGAATTAACAATATTTCTACACAATAATTCTAAAAAAAAATAGAAGAGGCAGGAATACTTTTCAATTAATTTTATGAAGCTCATATTATCCTGACACTAAAACCAGAAAGACAATAAAAAAATTAACAAACAAATAAATAAACAAACAAATAAATGAATAAAACTACAGAATATAGATGCAAAAATAACAAGTAGAATTCACCAATATATAAAGAGAATTACATATCATTACCAAGTGGAGTTTATTCCAGTGAACCAAGGCTGGTTCAATATTTGAAATTCAATCAATGTAGTCTATTATATAAGTGGGCTAAAGGGAACTAAGTGACATGGTTATATCAACAATACATTAAAAACAATGACAAATTTCAACTTTAAAAAATTTTTTTCAATGTAAGGATGTCCACTCTTACCATTCTTAATCAGTATAATGTTAAAAGTTCTATCCATGTGATAGTCAAGAAAAATAAGTAAAGGTCATACAGATCATAAAGGAAGAAATAAATGTTTTAAGGTGACATAATCATCTTCATAGAAAATGTCAAGGAATTTACCAAAAACAAACAAACCTCATAGAACAAGTAAATTAATTCAGCAAGATCAAAGAATACATAAATAAATAAATATCATTTACATTTCTACACACTAGCAAGCAATATACAAACACCAAAATTTTAAATTGAATATCATTTGCAGTTGCTCAAAACAATGAAATACTTAGGTGTCAGTCTAGCAACACATGTGCAGGATACGAGTGTTGCAAACTGTACAATGGGGACCAGCAATTAGCGTAATGGCTATGTCACTGGACTCCCATGTAGTCAACCGGGGTTCAAGTTCTGGACCCGGTGGCTTAAACTCATGCCGGGTGCGTGTGTGTGTGCATGCCCAAGACTGGAGAAGAAGGAATTGTAGTGTGGCCATCCCCGCCAAGGGGTGATTTCTCACTTTCTGTCTCTCTGTCTCTGTCTTTCTAGTGCGCACACACACCCTATAGCAAAAACCTCTCCCCCCCCCAAAAAAAAAAAGAAATCTGTACAATGGAGAGAGGAAGAGAGGGAAGGAGGAAGGGAAAAATAGGAAAAGAAAGAAAAAAAGAAGGACTAAAAGGAAAAAGAAAGGGAAAAAAGAGAGAGAGGGAGAAAAATCTAAATAAATGGAAAGATAAACTATATTCATGAATCAGAAAAATAAACACAGTAAAGATATCAATTATACTCAAATTAATATGCAAGTTTAACACAATTTGAACCAATATCCCAATAATACATCTTGTACAAACAAACAGGATTACTCTAATTTTTGACATATTTATTGGTTTATTGATTAATCAATATATTGGCTCATCCACTCATTTATTGATTCATATTCTCTGATGGCATTCAGAGCAAATCAAATCCCTTACTCTATTTAAATTACATCTTTAGGAATGAAGTGATTTCTCTTGATCTCGATGTGAAATGTGCTGTGACTTAGGCTGATCTTTTGCTACACCATTTCCAAAACATACTGGCATGATAAATAACAGATTTTTTTAAATGCCATATATTCTAAAATTTATGTGGAAAGTCAAAGGAACTAGAATAGTAAGACAATTTTTAAACTAAAAATAAAATGTGAAATCATGCCAGGCACATGTACGAGTATGCCCAAGACACCAGAAGAGAATGAAGAAGAGTTGGCAGCATGGCCATACCCCTTGTGGGTCTGATTTTTCACTTTCACTTTCTGTCTCTCTCTCTTTCTCTGGTGAGTGCACCTGCCTTATACCATAAACCGAAAAAAGAAAAAATGTGATTGACAGTTTTTCTCTATTTCTTTTCAACTAGTGATTCTCAACTTTGGCATATGGATGTTCCAGTAAACTTCTAAATAATACTGAAACTTGAGTCTCGGCCCTGAAAAAAATGGAATAGATTGCTCTCCTACTATTCTAATGTTCATCCATATTTGAGGGCTAGGATGTAGCTGACGTAAGAAAAAACTGCGGAGATATTGATTTGGTTCAGCAAATCATACTAGCATGACTTACTCATAAACCTAAAAATATGACAGCCAATATTGGCCAGAATGGAAAGAAATAGCCATTCTCATTCGTCACTACAGAATAAACCCTTCTAAAGGGCAAAACGGTATCTCTGTGGAAATATTCATAGACATTATCCTAGCAAGTCTTCTTCTAATAATTTGGCCTAAGGAAAAATTATGAATGAGTAACTATATTCAGCTACATAATGTTAATTATCACATTGTTTATAATAGGCCAAAACTGGTGACAACCTCAATGCCCAATAATGATGGATGGGGTAAATAAATAATTCCGTCATACATTATAATCATGGAATATGACAAAGTCATCAAAAAAGAGAACTGTAAAATAATATGAGGAGTGCTGGCATCTCTGGGAGGCCGCGCCGCCCCTCTGGCGGTGCAACCACTCCTCCACCCGACCTTTCTCCCGCCCCGGCGACAGGGCACGCAGGTCGAGATGCAAATAAATAAATAAATAAATGAAAATAATATGTAATCGTATGGAAAGATGTGAACAACCATCGACCTGTCAGGAAGAAATTACTAAACAGCATGAATATGGTCACATTTTTGTTAGATAAGCGTATGTGCATTCATGCATAAAAAGAGACACCAAAATGTTCTCACTGGGAATTTCAATAAGGTAAGCTTAGAAGTATTTCTTTATGTTTGCCTATATTTGCAAAGTTCTCAAAACAGACATACATTAATGAAAAAAATAAAATAATATAGTTTCTTATTTTAAGAAATACACAAGAAAATGGCCAAACATAGGCCAGCAAACATGGGTGAAAGATGTGGTTCAGAATCTAGTCTCAGACTTCAACTAGGAAAAGTCAAGAGCAAATAAAAATGCCACTTAATACTTTAATTAATACATGAAAATCAAATAAACAGTCAAGGTTCTGGGAGATGGAATGAGCAACTTAGTCATGAAGGGAATTTCATATAATCCCAAGGTGTTTCAAGTAATATTTTTCTGAACTGTCCTTACAGAGCATTTGCCTGGGCAACATCTCTTGCCCCACAGCCTAACAGCAGTCTTCCTTCTCTTTGCCCATGTGGGATTCTTTTCTGAATGTTTATTGAGCTTGATCCTATGTCCAACATAATGCTCTGATGTAGCGAGGCTCCCAAATGGGTAAGGTGTATTTGATTTCTCAAACATTCTGCAATCTAGTGCAGGAAAATTGCACAGATAATTTTAAAAACTCTTTATACACTTCACCCAGATTCACTAGTTACTATTATTTGGCTACATCAGTATTACCACTCTCTTTCTCTCTTCACATACACGTGTGTACAATTTTTTTCTTTACCTTGTGAGAAAAAAATGATAGATATATTTCATTCAATATATGTGTTTGAAAACAAGGACATACAGTTATATAACCACAACACAATTATAATTTAACACTGATATAACATTATCAAATTACAGACCTTATGCAAATTTCACCAATTGTCTCAGTAATGTGTTTATTTCTTTGTATTTTTTTTTTCTGGTCCAGAATACAAGCCAGGATCACACATTGCATTTAGTTTTTGTTTCCCCTTAGCCTCCTCTAGTCTCCCTTGACATTTTAAAGAGTATAGGCCATTTATTTTGAAAACAGTTTCTCAATTTGGGTTTATCTGAGCTTTCTCCTGATTAGATTCAGGTCATAAATTTTTGGCAGGAACAATACCTAAGTGAAGTTATGTCCTCTTCAGTGCATCACATTAGAAGGTACATGGTGGCAATTTGCCCCGTAGAGTCTATCCGCAAATGTACAAAATTCAATAAATCTTTACAGCTAGAAGTTTCGCAATGTATTTTTGGTAGAATAGTTTAATATTCCTCTTTTCTCCCTTTGTGTTTTGCTTAAAAGAAAGAATATAAAAGAAAGAATAAACTTATGTTCACAAAGAAATCTGTACATGAATGTTCACAGCAGCTTTATTTGTAAAAGCCAAAGCTATTAATAGCCCAAATGTCCTTCAGTTGATGAGCATTTAAACAAATTGAGGTGCATCTATGCCATCAAATACAATTTCAGAAATAAAAATAATTAACTATCAATACATTCAACACCTCGGATCAATCTCCAGGGAATTGTGCTCACTGGAAAAAAGACAATACTAACAGAGTTTATTATTTCACCCATACAATATCAAAATAACAAAATTATAGAAATGGAGAATGGATTAGTTAGTTGTTGCCTTTGGTTGTGAAGAGGAGGCAAGGGGGGAGAATGAGAAGGATCCTTGTGGTGATGGAACTATTTAGTATCTTGTCTCTAATGGCAAACTTAGCATCCTATATCTGTTATAAAATTGTACACAACAAAATGCACACAGACACACAAATGAATACAAGTAAGACTGGAGAAATCTGAGTAATATTGTTATATTGTATTGATATCAATATCCTAGTACTGATTTTGTATGATAGTTTTGCAAAATGTTACCATTGAAAACCAGGCAGGTAAAGGACACACAAGATTTCTACTATTTCTTATACTACATAGGGATCTATCATTAGTTTAATAAAAACTTCAGTTTATTCAAATACGCAGCTAGTCACAGCATAGCTCATTCATAAAAGCTAATTAGCCTAACAAAATCATCTGTACAGTCGTAAGATAAAATTTATGGTAGTTCCCACAGTTTTCTCTACCTCGCTTACTTTCTAATATATTTATATTAGGCTGCTCATTTCTGTGGCATTTTTTTTTTATTTCTTCAGTAGTTAATTTTTTGGTGTTTCTATATAATCCCCAGTATAACATGTATAATTAGCTTTTTGGTTAATTATTGCTAGTGGTACTTTTAATGGTCTTTGTTATTGTTTCATTATGAAAGAACAGAAGAAATCTGTAATAAAATGGTTTTCCAAACAAAGAAAAAAGTGATTATAGCTTATGAGGAAAAAATTGTAAACATTCTTGCCTGTGGTATTTGGTCATTCATTTTAACACTGCCAAGCACTATTTTAGGTGCTAAAGATACAATGGTAAGTTAAATAAAATTCCTATCTTCATGGAGGTCACAGTGAAGCAGAGTAGAAGATAGGCAGACAATTATATATCATTTAGTACTGAATACTGAAAAGAAAAATGTATCTGAACCATTACTGATAGCGAATGAAAGAGATGCTGATGTAGATAAAGTGGTGGTTCGACAACTTGTCTGAAAAGATGAATTTGAACAGAGACTGAGATGACATGGTAGAGAATAAATGGTATGTAGTTCATAGTTACTGAGACAAAATTAATGGCTCTTTCAAGACAGATGCTTATTAATTCTTGATTCCCAGATTAAGTAAGAAAGAAATGAGTCCTTAACCAAACTTCTTTATCTTTCAACCAAAATGCTATTTGGCTAGAAGATGAAAAAGAGTCGAATACTTAATACTCACTCTTTCATTCCCTATTCTTTGATAGTTTGTTAAAAGTTTGTCTAGTTCTTTAAGAAAAAAAAGAAACACCATTTTAACGAACAATACAATTAAGAGATGCATATGTTGGAAACTCACCCCCTTTGAGCTACTATGATGTTGGCCTTTTTCCTGATTTGAGGTCAATAAAGTTATGGTGTTGTGTCTCCCAGGGAAAATACCTCTATGTAACATCATTTGACTCACTCTGGCTTCCCTGAATCCTCCTAAGAAGCTCAATCTGCAGATTACAGCAAGTTACTCCTTTTCAATTAACTCTCTTTCAGATTTGATCATTGTCCTTGTCTTCATTTATGTCAAATGGTGCTCCCTGTGGATACAGGCAGCTGGTTATTCTAGGCTAACTCAGATAAACCTTATTAAAATAACCTCCTCCCTTGTGCAAACCTATCCATCACCTTCACCTTGGCAGGTCCTTCTCAGCCTATGTGGTTGGCGCCATCTCTAGGTCCCAAATGGTAAACCTCCCCCTGCCCCAAGACTGTACCATCAGCATCAAGACACTATTTACAAGGCACAAAATGCATATGGAAAATTTGAGTAATTTGCTACTTTGAAAGTTTAATTCCATCCAGGAAATGTTACCTGAACAAATAAAGATTCTGGGGAAACAGGTTCTAGAAAGTAGGATGGCTGCACCTGAAAGGTTTCCTTAGAGACAACAGGGTATATTCTGGAGTAGTTTCAGGTATCTAGACCCATACAATGTCAGATCAATGCTTTGTGAGGAAATTCCATAGCAAGTGACATGACAGGGATATGAGATTTTGAGATCTGACAAGCCCCACATTCAGCATAAACAACTATGTAGGAAGATGGAAACTAACATTTTTTGTTCAAAATAGAAAATCACCTTAAATGAAAGAGGAATCAGTTGTGGGAAAGGGAGGTCACTGAAGCCCTAAAAACCTTCCCTAGCCCCTCCTATCACCTCATTCCTAGTTATGAGTCAACTCTCTGACATTAGAAGTGATCCTCATTGTTCTCTGCGTGCACATAAACATTGGGGTTATAAAGAGAATGGCCAAAGAAACAGCCCCTTGTTCAGTTTGCATGAGGATTATTCTACTTTTGTAAGGACTGAGCTAGGTGTGGTAAGATAGCAGGTCTCTCATGGCCAGTGAGGAGCTATGATCAATATGAGTCCTAACATGGATTGGTAGAATCCTTGGAACAGGCCAATCATCTTCAAAAAAGGCGCAATCAACTATCTTTAAAAAGTCACTGGAGGAGCCAGCAGGTAGCATGGTGGTTAAGGCACTGGACTCCCACATGGCTGACCCTGTTTTGAGTCCTGAACCTGGCAACTTGTTTTCTCACTTTTCCTTTCTCTCTCTTTCTCTCTCTCTCTCTCTCTCTCTCTCTCTCTCTCTCTCTCTCTCTCTCT